CCACCTCTGCGCAAATCTGTCATGATTGTCGTCTGTGCATAAGGTCTGGAAAATTTTAATTTGAAGCTTGTGATCTACACGTACTGCAGGATGTTTGAGCTGTGCATTCTCTATCCGTGTTGAAAAGCCACATAAAACTTTTAGGATTAACTTGTTTCATTAAAATTTTCTTTCAGATGTTAAACCATTCCACTGCACATGGCGTACATGCTGCGAGAACACCTGAATTATTTATTTTTCTTTGAGTTTACTCTTATTTTTCTTTGAGTTTCATTCATGCACCTCGGAGAAGCAGCGAGGATTTGACAGACTCCTTTTTCTGCTTAACATTTCATGCTATGATAACATCAAGTTGAGAGTAGGAGTGGGATTTTATTTATTAAATTATTTTTGGGAGAGTTTTGCTGGCAGTTACTTGAAATGTTGTCATATTTGTCTAAGCAATACATCATAGAAATCATGCTGAAATCTGGCTGCTGACAGTTGAGATACTCTGACATGAATCAGGACAGTGAGTGGTCTCTCTATCAGTAGCACAGTCAGATCATGTTACTGACATTAGCTGGTGCAGAGTGACCATGACTGAGGAGGATTTAACACTTGGATTTTACTCAGGGAGACAGCTTGCATCCAGGGAGGTGACTTTCTGTCCACGCTACTGGACCACCTACTGAAGGCTTAACATGCTGCTTCATCCAGGCCTGGGAATAAATCTGGTTTAGCTGACAGTCTTTTCAAAGTTGCAGCTAAGGATTAATACAGCATTGCTGAATTTTTACAGGGTCAGTTTAGCCCAACAGGAAATGCCCTGCTTCACAAATAGATGTGGGAATGTGGCACCATGTCTGTGAGTTTTCTACTTCTGAATAAACAAGTTGCTGTTGAGTAAAATGTACCTTTGCAATTATCAAAAAGATACAGTACCACACAGTGTGTGTACATTTTGTGATTTAGATAACCTGACCCTTTAAATTCAACGGTAGCCTTCATTAAATACTTCTAATTCAGTGTAGCATCTCACGTCCTCTCAACTGAGCACTGGCGTTAACGCAATTAGGACTCCTACATTGCCACTATGCTGCTGTAGCCCTTCACAAAAGACAAGCTTCCGCTCACCACACAAGCCCTGTGTGTCATGGTTGACCTTTCCTCTCTCTTGCACTGTCTGAACTGATCAGCTTCTCTTGGTGGCAGATACACCACAGCATACCACCACTGTCCAAACTCAGTCTGATAACAACCCCTGATCTCTGACACAGCAGCTAGAAGCGGTACAATGGGGTGGTGGGCTGAGAACTGTTTTCATCTTCAGTGTAATTCTAACAGCCTCTGAACTCATTTGCTCTTTGAGGGCAGCAGATAACCCCTTATCTTCAGATGTGTTAATTGGACTTTCTGAAGGAAGCCACCATATTAAAGTGGTCTGAGAGCAGACCAAAGCCTCAGGAAATCACACACTTTTCAAGCTAACCTTCATCTAATGTGCAGTCTGGGGACCTTACAAAGCTGAGCTAAATTAACTTTGCCTACACAGGCAGAAAACATGCCACCACAGTATTTCTAACTACCCACAGAAATACCCAGGAGTCATAAAATGTAGTGCATAAATTTATTTCAACATATATTAACCTTTTGTTTATTCTTTTTGCATTTTGTTAAAGACACAATACCTACAGTATTTACATTAGATTCTACAACCATACTTGTTAGCAGAAAGCAGTTTGATCATATTGTAAGATAAATGAGGAAGAGGAAGGCTATGCTCTAGAGCTCAAAGAAAACATATAAGTTGATACCTTATCATTTATTTATTTGACACCTCATCATTAAACCGGCCGACTCCTGTCATAGCAGCCCATGAGAAACAGTGCACATTACAACAATTAACAGCTGTCTAATGATGGTTATGATGTATAACAAAATTGGGGCTACATGTTTATAAGTTATATTTTGTTGCATCATGTTATATTGAAACATGTTGCATGTATGCTGGTTTATGTTATGAAGCATCATGTTATGTTGGGTCAAGGTATGATATGTAATTTTATGAGCTATTTTGGAATGTCGTGTTATGTTTTGCACTATGTTACACCATGTTATGTTATGTTGCATTTAATTGTGTTACCTTACTTTCATACATGCATATTACTTTATGCACAAGTTCCATCTAATCTTCTTTTCCCACTATGCAGATCCCACATCATTCATCACACAAACAGAATAACAGGCTGTAAGGCGAGGCTGATTCACATTCCACTGCAATCGACTGATGGATTACCCTTTGACAAATCCTATGAGGCAGACAGCATCTCAGCATACATTATCCTCTGACAAGGCTTCGACCTCAATCAGGTGTCCTTTGCAGAGTCAAGTGTAAGAATGGAAAGAAACAAGGAAAATGATAGGAGCCATCAGCAGCCTTGATTATGCCTGATGAGACTTTTTGGTCTGTGAACTGGCTCATAAAATACAGGAGAATGTGCCTTTGCAGAAATATCTCATGCACTCTAATGCACTAAACAACTGTGGTGACACACTGTGGATGACTTGGGGGGTGGGGGTGACCAGTTGTTTCATCTGGGCTTAATTAAAGCTGGTGTTCAAGAAGAGGACAGAAGCTGAACCGGAGGGACACCAGCTCTGTCACCATAGCGACAGAGCTGATGGGCAGATAACGAGGAAGAGTTTGAGAAATGAGAAAAACAAGCACCCATCAACACACACAAACACAGGTGCACACACAGATACCTGACCAGCATAACACCAATGGAAATCGAGCAAGAAAAGCTCGAATGGCAATGAGCGTGCACTGAAGTACAGACACTTTCATGATTAGCGTAATCTTCTTGGAGTTGTAGCTGTGCACTGGTCAATCAAAAGCTCACACAGAGGTCATTCCTCAAGAGAATAAACACCTAGCTCTGCTAGTGCTCGGATGAACACCAAGAGAGAGGCAGGCAGGAAGATTAAATTAAAGGTGAGCAGACAGGATGCAAGTCAAGCGCACACATGTTTAATGATACTGGAACACATTTTATGGTGCTGGAAAATTCATTTGTAAGGTGCTGACCTACAATGCAACTCTCAAGTCTAACTGACTAAATGAAGACAGAGTGGGGCTGTATATAACCAGGAAGCACAATGATTCTACACAGGAACTGGATGTTGCTCATAATAAGGCTAGGGTGACAGGAAAATGCAGAAATGAGTCATATCTATTCACCAATTTGTGTGTCATACCTGCGTCAAGCAGTGTTGTAGTAGTTGAGTCCAGGACTCAGACTCAAGTCCAACTCAAATCCAGGTTTTCAGGACTTGTGACTTGACTTGTGCATGGGCAGTGATGACTCTGACTTAGATTCGGACTTGAGTATTGACTGCATTCAAACTTAGAAACTGGGGATGAGGACTGGCTTTTTTTAATAGACCATAATAATTTAGCATAAGCTATTGATATTATAGCCTGTTCACCTGCACTGTGCTGTATCTGGCGCACTTCCATCAAAGTGTACGCGCCACCTTTCTATAAATGATTTTTATGTGGCGTATCAAAATGCTGAGCAATGTGGTGATGTGGTACACTGGTAGAAAGGTGTGTCCATGTGTTTAATGTTAGCCTCGATGACTGAGTCATTTAATGGGGTCTCAACTGGGACTTGACTCTGATTATTCTTTGGTGGCTCTAACTTGATTCAGACTTGAACACTGGTGACTCAAAACAACTCGGACTCGAGGTTTAGTGACTCGACTACAACACTGGCATCAAGAAAACTTGGTTCAGTTCAGATAAAACCCAAAACAATAAAAAAGCGAACAGCAGCTGCTACCATGTCAAACATTGTGATAGGCTCTAGATTATATTTGTGTATAATTAATTTGTTGCTATATACTGTACATTCTGTCATATTTTGTTGCTACATAAAGTTTTGCCCCAACATTAACTGTAAACCCCTAAAACCCCTTTTCCTGTTGTACAAAATTAGTACAGCTACATAATTGAACTACCTGATAGTACAGTGCACTCCTAGAAAAATCAAATTATTTACAATATAGTCATAGTTTTCTCTAAGAGTTTTCCTTCTTTACAAAAATCTTGTGCTTTAGCATTTAAAACACACACATCCGACCACACACAATAGGTAGAAAAGAAACGATAAAAAGACATTTCCTCTCCTCTTCTTTGTTCACCAAAGGTGCAGTCCCTGTATTCAGCTGTGTTACACTGGAATTGAATCTCAGTGAGGGTGCTTCAAAACCGGCAGATGTGCCTTCCATCCAGTCCATTAATAATAAAACAGGAAGTGATCCACCGAAGTGTCCTGAGGTGATGCCTATCACTGAGAATCTGTCTCCGTGTAGATACTGACATGTAAAGACATGTTATACAAAGTGCTACATTAAGGTTTCCTTTTCTCTTTATAACACTTTTCCTTGAATATCTAACTACTTTTATGCAAGTTGGCATGAAGTCAGAGAAATTGTAGTCAAATGTAGTCATGTAGATTGCCCTCAGATCACTGGTCTTCAACTTCACCTGATGAAATGAAGTTTCTCCAGAACTTACAGTATGTTCTGAGAGAAATAAATAACAATGTAAAAACACATGGACTGATGAGTGAGAAAAGACAGAATCAGATTTTATGGAGCATCTAATCATAGTATCATTAGCACCATCACAGTGTATAGGGAGAAAACATGAATGTCTGGATGGCAGAATGAGCTGCTGAGAGGAGCCTGTTAAAGGCTGCCTGCACGACTTCTCAGCTCGGGAAGAAGTCTTTGGTCACAAATCAAAACCTAACTGGCACGTGCCAGTGATAACCTGTCCTAGTGTGCACTGCTGATTGATGAAGTCCATTTCCACAGCCAGGGATATGATCCTGAGATTCTCTTTTATGGTTAAAGTACCCTTTTCTATTTCCCTAGAGTCTTTGTGCTAGTTATTAACACCACTTCACAGCTTGACATTACTGTGAAAAGCAATCTAGTCTCCAGTGTGGTCACACACAGATTTCGATGGCAGTTGCCATTGCCATCTGGCTTTTGTTCTTGTCTCGGCCTGGAGATTGGTGCTGTCCAGATTCCTCTCTGGGAGACAATGGATCAGAGAGGACACTACGCTTGAGCGGGGCTGGGCGAAGGCAGGTTGTTCCTGTAGGGGTGGAGGGCTCAGGGTGTCTGTGGGAGGAACGTGATGAAGTAGAGGATGAGGAGGAAGTGCAAGTGCCAGTACACACTCCTGAGCTTGACCTCTCACCTCTCTTGGCTCGGCAGGACGCTCTCCGTCTGAGCTCGCTGACCAGCACGTACTTGACAAAGCAGAAC